AGATGCCATGAAATGCCATGAGATGCCAAACTCTTGGAATTTAGGGGGTCTCCAACGACATGTCTTGGAAGTCTGCGGTATCGGGCAGGATTCGCAGCATCTCAGAGTGTTCATCGCAGATACGCCTCGAAAAACCACACTTTTGCAGATTTTTCAGAACTTTTGGCGAACCATAATTGTTGTTGGGTGATGGCTGTGTGATTTTAAGTTGGGCGACAAGAGAATGTGCCTTCCCGAAGCGTCGCTAGCCCGGGTAGATTGAGACTCTTGGCGTCAGCGGTCGTGATGGTCAGAGAGAACTCAAAAGTTCGCGTGCGCAACAGACGAGACTTCAGCCAGCTCAGGTGTCTGGCATCTGGCGCATATTAGTAGGGCTTGGCTCGCGTCAATCGAAAACGCCTCATTCAAAGAATATGGCCGACAGATAGCCCGTTCCTAACCGTGATTGCCATTGATTGTCCAAATAAACCGCCGCAGTGTCGTCGCCACGGGGGAGGAATGGTGCTGATAAGCTTTGCCACCCTCCCCGGATGCGCCCCGGGCGCCTCATGAGTAACGTATGCCAGATAAGGCCTCAAGAGGGCACAAGTGCCAGCCAAGACAATTGTCGTTTGGGTCAACCTTTAGTGACATATTGAGGCAGATATCCGAAGCCACGGAACGCCAATGACATTAGGTGCAGTCGCGGGTGGGTTGGCGTGCTCGGATGACACGACGGGAGAGAAAAGATGGGCCGTTTCGACCGAATCGAGACATGTCAAGTTCAGATGTCCTGAATCGTGGCAACGAAGTGGGCGCATTGCGAACCTTCGACCAACGAGGCTATCAAGACAAAACCCGAGTGACAGAGCGAATGACGGCAGAGCCGACTCTGGTATCGATGGTAGATATCGTGACAAGGGATGGTGGTGGTGGGCGGGGAGCGCCAGGTTCGCCAGCGCTGCTGTCACTGTCTCTGTTTTGTTAGCAGATGCGTATGACACACGCACATCATGTACCATGTAGGATCGCCCATGAAAGACTGTTATCTTTGCCGAGACTTTATTCCCCATATTTCCCGCCAGAGGGGGGAATGTTCTGTGTGTCGTAGACCAATTGCAGCACATGGTGATGAGACCCCCAGGGATGTGGATGGATGAGGAGTAAGCATTGCGTGGGTATTCGTAGAATTGTAGGCCCTTCCTTCAAATGGCAAGCACCAAATAGCGTAGCTCGACCAGTTTGGCGGTGGGTTAGGGGTAAACAGCGCGGCGCAATCGAGTCGTGTCGGTCGCCCCAGACAGGTAGGCCAGGGGTCAAATCGCCAGAGTTTTGCGCAATCAATCCAAACTTTGAAGGGTGTCAAAAGCGCCCCCAAGTGGCAGTTGGAACAGGGTGACGGGGCAGCGGCCGGAGATTGGGCGTCTTGTGTGTGACGCGATGGGAGATGGGTGATCCGCTTCGTTTCCTGAGTGGCTCCCCCTCACAATATTACGGTTGGCTGTACGGATCCCTCGCTTTTCGAATAGGCGTATCGCATCACAAGACGGAACTCGAGGACGCAAAGGTTCGATGGTGTGGTTGGGCGGCCTGGCGGCATTCTAGAAGGATTCCTTTGCCTAGTTAGCGGCGGCCTCCCTGTCCCGCGGCGCCCGCCCCTGCGAGGCCAATGGACGCGCCGAAAGTCAATCAGCGATGAGGTGTGACGATTCCCGTCAGCTCACAGCGGATGATTGAGGGTCTGATACTGATTTAGATCCTTCTTCGTACACCGCAAGGGAATCGCACTTTGTAGAGACGCGCTGGCATGGTAGATGGCAGCAAATGCTGGGCAGCCCTGGTCACGAGGCGCTGGGCCAAGAAGCGCAAAGAGGCAGGAGAGAAGCTGGAGACCGGTGGCCGGGAACCGAGGAAGCCTAGCAGCTCCCATCGGGCTGGCAGCCAAGCCGTTACATCTGAGGATTCCTGTCGAGATTGGTTCCAATAGGATTGGATGAGATTTTGCCTTTGATACCTTGCCTGTCACGAGCTGTTAGGAGTCGGAGACTCAGGGAATGGAAGCGTACTAGGTAGGTATGCAGAGAATAGCAGTGAATGGCGACGGTCGGACTGCGAGATCCATCAATCAAGCAATAACGCCCCAGTTCTTGGTCCTTCCCAAACAGGAAGCTCGTCAGGATGGGCTTGGATCGTGAGGTACGGCCAAGAGACACCAAACCGCACAGCCCTGTTCCAGAAGACCTTGGCTGCAGGTCGGTAGCTCCAGGAGGGAGCCACGGCCTTGGCTCGAGTAGACGAGTTCGCGTAAAGTTGAAAAGTCCTGCGTGTCAGAGACTGCGATTCTCTGAAGCCGAATTGGAAGTAAATCGGGTAGGGAAAAGGAAGAGAAGAGAAGCAGCAGGGTTCGATCCTCTGTACGTCTGATACTCGGAGGCAGGTACAAAGATACGTACAGGTACGGATACATGTATACCTCGACCTAGGTACAGAGTAGGTACCTATCGAGGTCTGCAGGAAGGTAGGCGGGCACTTGTTTAAGGTGAGGAAGGCATACAGCATGCAGGCGGCAGGTCGCGCATTCCATTCTTGGGGAAGGAAGGTGTGGTGGAGCACCGTTCATCCCTTCTGTCACCACTTGTGTCCAGGACTCGTCGTCGAAACGGTGGTACGAAGTACTGTACACCAGGTTAGCTCATCTCAAATTCTTACTCCTCACTCTGAACTCTCAAAAGTCTCATAACAGTGTTTGTATCTATCACTCCACCTCGATGGATCTTGCTGGCTCACAGACAAACAACCTATATCTATCATACGGATATCGCATGGACCATCCCTCGCCCATACAACTTCTCATCGCGCGGCCGTGCCCCTTCTCACTCCCGGTCTCATGGGTCGCCCACTCCCCCGCTTGGGACGGATCTCCACTGATAGCGTGTCGGTGGAGTGAGATGGGCGCCCGTAATAATTATGAGTGTGCGGCGTGCGCACTGCGTCCCCTGCTCAATGAAACGTCCTGAGCAAGTGAGAATAAGTGAGTGAGAGTATGAGAGGAGCAGTGAGACTGAGAGTCCGGGCCAGTCAAGTCCAGGGCAAAGGCCCGGCACCGTCCCACCCCCGCGCGCCGCTACCAAATCACTGTCTTCCACTTCTGCCAAATCAATTTCCATCACATGAATCCATCCGTACATTTTCCAACCTGAACATACAGATATCGCAACCCATCTCCAGCCGGCACCGTCCACCAGCCAATAACCCTTCTGCCAAGACTCACTATAAACCATGACCGGTTCTTCTAATCACTTGGCAAAAACCTCCCCATTTGCACGGTCTGGCGTCTACGCTCCCCACCGAGCCCACCTTCTGCTCTCAGAAAGCTTACTGGTTTCTGCCAAGCCGCTGTGTTGCCTCTGATGGGACATATCCGCCGGTCGTCGACGTCTCTAGACCAAGAGACCCGAGAGAGACGCCTGCACGCTTCGTAACCCTCAGAAGCATCGAGCCACGCACCGCACCGTTGACCGAACACATCGCATCCCTCCCAGCGGCCAGTAAACAGCATGCGAACCTCCGAATCAGATCTTTTTGTCGCAGACCACTGGCCTGCTTGATGGGGCCACCTGAAATGCCGCGTCCCACAGTCTGAAGGGCAAGGCTCAAGGCTGAAGCGACAGAAGCGGTGTTTGCCTGTCTACCGAATCTGCCACGTAGAGTGACACCGATGCAGCCCTTGGACGTGAGGCGAGTTGACGACGTCGCGCTGGGCTGGAGTTGTGAGGTGCTTCAACGATCTCGTCCATCCCACCATCTCCGAGGCCTTGCCATCTTCGTCTTCCACGCAGCTTCCATTGCTTCCGAACACCCACATGATACTTCACATCCGCCATCCGCATCCGCATTCTCATGTACGATGGAAGTGTGCGTAGTGTGAACCTCTGCCATGGGCTCTTCCTATCTGTGCTACACTACGTACACTACTGCTAGATGCCGGCCGTCCCCTTCACTCCCCTTGACCTACCCTTCCTTCCCTCCCGTCTCACGGCTGACCGACCGGTCCAACTACCTGCCAAGGCTGTACCGGAGAGACTCGTCTACCTATCCGTCTAGACCTCTCATAATCTAGGTCACCTTCCTCCTACCTCCTGGCATTTCCTGCAAGCTAGCGGCGCAGCTATCATGGGTGATTTCCCGGGGAGAAGGTATCCCGGAAACGAAGAAGCAGAAGAAGATAGAGAAGAAAAATAACAAGGGACTAACGTAAGACAGGCAAGGTGCTCTTGGCAACTTTTATACTTCTGTAGATACTAGAGACAATGTGCTCCCTTCATCGGGAAACCATGTACAATGTTGGCAAGGTAGGGTCACGGAAGGAAGAAGAGGAGGGGGTATTGGGTCGTTCCCTCATGCCGGGGTCTCCCTGGTCTCTCTAGTCCATGTTGCAGCTTCCCATCCGTTGGATTTGCGCCGGTGAGGTGAGCGCGTCCAAGTTGGTTGGTCCCCTTCTCGTCCAGCTCCAGCTCCAGCTTCTCGCCCGAGCGGTATGCTGCACACCTCCCTCTGTGTCTGCCTCGATGTCTCTCGACGGAAGTCTCGAGGGGCGTTCCCTCACGTTTCCTTCCTGTGTATCCGTAAAGTGACCCTCTCCATCCTACCATCTACCTTCCTGTCGTACCCCTACCCATCTCGCCAGGAAGTCCTACCCATCCCACACACACCTTCCTGTCTTTGGTCTGGTCCGTTTCTACACATCCAACGACCTTTCCCGGTGCCTTTACAGATACCCTACATGGTACTTTTACATGGGGCAATGCACCTGCACATGTCGTCGCTCCCGTCGTCGTCGCGACTGGCTTGTTCCTCCCCCTCTGCCTTAGCTCCCCCGTCCCCGTCCCCGTCTCTCATCCCGGGTGCTGTCTCGAACCTTTATTAAACGGCATCCCGCGCCGCCTCCCTCTCTATCTCGTCCCTTCTTGTTGTCCCTTCCACCCCTCATACTCTTGTAGTTCTTTACAGAGTAACACCAGCTTTGTTCCTCTTCCGTCGTCGACAAGGGCAAAGGTCACGACAAGCGCCAACGCGCATCACTTCTTCTTCAAAAACCGGCCTCTAGCTTCTGTCCAGAGCTATCGAGCTTACTCTTCATCATGTCCAAGGAGGATGCCCAAGTCGGCGTGGTCCCCCCCACGTACGACTCCGAAAAGGGCGCTCGCCACACCGCCGGTGATGGCCATGTTCCCGAGAACTTTCGCGAGGATGACTTCATGACCCGCAATGGCTTGAACCTCAAGAGTTTCCAGCGCCGTGAGTGCATCCCCCTCCAACTCCGCTTGGACAATTTTGCGGCCTGTCTCCAGCGGCCCAGCATCGCCTCGCCTCGCCTGTATATCTCTTCAGAGATCGATTTCTAACAAAGCATTCTTAGGTGACTGGGGAACTGGCGACACTGAGCTCGATCGCTCCATGAAGCCTCGTCACTTGCAAATGATTGCCATCGGTGGCTCCATCGGTGCTGGTTTCTTCGTCGGTTCCGGTAGCGCCCTCACCAAGGGTGGCCCGGGCTCTGTCCTCATCTGCTTCTTGATCGCTGGTGTCATGATCTTCAACGTCGTCTACGCTCTCGGTGAACTCGCTGTACTGTACCCTGTCTCTGGTGGTTTCTACACCTACTCTATCCGCTTCCTTGATCCTTCCTGGGGTTTCGCTATGGGCTGGAATTATGTAAGTCATTTTTCATCATACCGCGCATCGCATCGCGAGGCTCTAACATGTGGCAGGTCTTCCAATGGGTTATCGTTCTACCACTCGAACTGACAGTCTGCTCGTTTACGATACAATATTGGAACAAAGATATAAGTGTCGCAGTATGGATCACCGTCTTCTGGCTCTTTATCATCTTCGTCAACGTTTTCGGAACCTTGGGCTTCGCCGAGGAAGAGTTCGTCTCCTCTGCCTTCAAGCTCTTTGCCACCGTCATCTTCATGGTCGTCGCCCTTGTTCTCATCTGCGGCGGTGGCCCTGAGGGTGGAAAGTACGATGAATACTGGGGAGACCGTCTCTGGAGCGACCCCGGTGCGTTCCAGAACGGCTTCCGTGGCTTCTGCTCTGTCTTCGTTACCGCCGCTTTTGCCTTCTCCGGTACCGAGCTTGTCGGCCTCGCTGCTGCTGAGTCCGCCAACCCCGCCAAGTCCCTTCCTGGTGCCATCAAGCAGGTGTTCTGGCGTATTACCCTGTAAGTCCTTCTCGAGTCAAACGTCTAGAGCTCTGGCTAATCATACTCTCAAGTTTCTACGTCTTGGGTCTTACCTTTGTCGGCCTTCTCGTCAGCTCTACCGATGAGCGTCTCCTGAACTCCGCCAACCCCTACGCCGATGGTGTCTCCCCTTTCGTCCTGGCCCCTCTTGATGCCCACCTCTACGGATACGACAGCTTCATGAACGTTGTCATTCTTGTCTCCGTAGTCTCTATTGGTGTTTCTTGCGTCTACGGTGGTTCCCGTACCTTGACCGCCCTTGCCCAGCAGGGATACGCCCCCAAGATCTTCACCTACATTGACCGATCAGGCCGTCCCCTGCCTTCCGTCGCCCTCAACCTCGCTTTCGGTGGCCTGGCTTACGTCCGCATGGCGTCTTCCGGAGGTGTTGTTTTCGACTGGCTCTTGTCGCTTTCTGGCCTTGCCGCCCTTTTCACCTGGGGATCCATCTGCGCTGCCCACATTCGTTTCCGCTCTGCATGGAAGGCCCAGGGCCACACCCTCGACGAGCTTCCCTTCCAGGCCATCGGTGGTGTTGCTGGCTCTTGGCTCGGCCTGTTCCTGATTGCTATCTCTCTGATCGCCCAGCTTTTCGTCGCTATCTGCCCCCCTGGTGGCGGCTTCGCCACCGCTGAGGACTTCTTCAAGGCTTACCTTGCCCTGCCCGTCGTTCTCTTCTTCTGGGCTTGCGGTTACTTGTGGAAGCGCAAGGGCTTCTTGAAGCTTTCCGAAATCGACCTCGACACTGGTCGCCGTGAGGTTGACTGGGATGAAGTCAACGCCTACCGCGCGAAGGTTGCCGCCTGGCCCACGTGGAGACGGTGGGCAAGCACTATCTTCTAAAAGACTTCGCTGTCTTTTATACTTGCTAGATTGTCTAGCACTAAAGGGGAGGAAGCATCTGGGGAGGATGTAAATAGGAGATGTTGGCCGAAGAGCAGTTTTGGCCCTAGGCATGTCTCACTATCATGATACCTATCTATTTTCTGAACTTGTAATCAGCAATGATGTCCCTATCATGGGCTTCAATACAGGGGTTTATTGAACCGCATCTATTCTAGTGTCATGTGCGCGCCTATCATGATTGAGAGTGTAGCGTTAAGCATCATGTGTGAGTGTACTCATGCGCGCCTGGCGGGAGGACCTAGATTCTGGGTTAGGTCCTCGTCATGAAATCAGCGATGGTGCCATTTTACCCCGCGTTTACTACATCCAGACCAAAACACCCAGAGGTGGAGGCTCCGGTCAGCAAATAATATGATCTGCATTCCGTTCATTGCACGGAAACAGGATCAGATTATCATCACTCGATCGGTCGTTGCAAAAAGGTTTGTGGAAGTGGTTTAGCGTGGGCTGGCTGATGCCGGCCTCAACCCCCCGGAGCATGGGGGCTCCACAACGGCCCGAGGTAGACGACGCTATCGACGGGTGGCTTGGATTTGTCGCGTGCCGAAGTTCCGGATAAGGTTCGATACAGGGAGGTTGAGTGGTTGATTGCGGGCGTGAGGGGATGAAAACTGACTCTGTTCTGTAGACGCATCATTCCCATCTCTGGTGTGATATTCTTCAGTTATGGATTCTGTGTAGAATTTGGTAGTAGACAGATGCGGGTAGAAGATGTGCGGACGAGGATGCTCTCTACAGGCGACAACAGACAGGCATGCCTGACCTCTTGTCCAATGGAGTATGAATCTTTCATAATGCCTGAAAACATGCTTCATCATTCCCCTATTGCTTGGGTTATGAGACTATTGGAATTTGGAATTCATATGAATTTTGTTCGATCCATTACATGCTTTTCTCAACGGCTTATTTTTACGGGTCTCCCGTGTTCCGATCGGTCGGGGAGTGGATACCTTTTCCGCACCGGTAGTGGGGCCGTAACCTGTTGGATCTCCGGTGCCGAGCTAGACGTCAAGGCTGGGCTCAACGGTCTGCCTTCAAGGCTGGCGCGGGCATTCTTCATCGTTTAGAGGCATCAACTCGGCCGGCCAGGTCAAACTGGCTCGGCGGTAGAGTTGTTGGAGGTTAATCATCAATTCCCCCGAATCGCCTACTTGCCCTCCTCAATGCAAAACCCGGGGCAGCTTCAAGGAATTGTACTTTGCGATGTCAATCATGCTGTCCATCCTGATCACAGCGGTCTTCAAAGACACCTTGTAATCCAACGTAGCCAATCACCTCGCAAAATAACTAAATTGCAACACACAGGTCACCCTCAAAGCCTCGATCCCTCCCGCAACCCAACCTCAATAACCCCCTGCACCGCACCCGGCACCCTCCAAATCTTAACAACCCTCAGCCCAACCGACTCGATCAGCGCCCTCCACTCCTTCTCCGTGCGCTCCCCGGCGGCGCCAAACGCCATCATGCTGATGTCGAAGACGGCGGCATGCGGGTGGACGGCCCGCACGTCGTCGTCCATGATTTGGTCGTGGATCAGGATCCTGCTGTAACCGGGCTTCAGGGCGGCTTTTTGCATCTCGAGGATTCTGCAGGCTTGTTTGTCGGGCCAGTCGTGGAGGATGTGGTGCATGTAGTATGCGCGGGCATCTTCACGTTGTTTGTCAGTCTTTGCTTGGAAAGTTGAAATACTCTGGCAGAGAGGACTTTAAACGTACGCTTAATCGGCTGAGGTGTGTAGAAATCATACGCCACCTTATTGATCCCCTTCAATACATTCGTCTTCTCGTCCGCCAGAACAGATGGCAAATCTTCCAAATACAACCTCGACGCTGTCTCCGGATGCAGTTCATAAAAGGCCTGCAGATCCTGTCCCATGCTGCCACCGATATCCACCAGCAGCGGCGAGCCCGGGTCGTCGTCGCCGGAGACGCTGTCCAAGAGGGTGTGGCTGGGGAAGATGGACGTCCACCTGGCCCTGTTGAGCGTCGTCGTCCGCTGGAGTGTGTTGAAGGCCTCGCTTTGTTCGGGGTGGGCTTTGAGATAGGCGAAGAGGCCGCCTTGCCAGCCGTGGACTGAGTCAAAGACTGTTTTGCGGGCGCTGCGGGGGCTTCTGTAGGATGTTTCGCGGAAGAAGATGGGCATGTGGGTGAACATTGGGACTGTGTGGTCGTAGCTTGCTGGAAGTTAGAACTGCTTGTGACGGAGAGAGCTGCTGGAGGGACAGGAGGGGATGAGAATGTTTGTCTTACTAGAATTTAGCGGTGGTGCTAAGGTTCGAGTCCGCAAGCTGGTCACAGAATCTCGTGGGCTTGTAGGTCTTGTCTGAAGTCATCTCTACGATGTTATTCGAGACCTGTAGGCGGAGGAGTCGATCTGGGAGAATATGAGATACTGCCACAAGGTACCCGAGACGGGATGAGTCACAAAGTAAAGCGGCATCGCAGGACCTCTCCGCGAGGCCTGTTAGCTGAGTGCAAGTCATGGCTCTGCTTCCATCAACCTTCCATTTCTTAAAGATGTTGAGATCCTGCAGTATCTTGACTGATGCTAGGACAGCCGGCTGGTATATTGTTAAGTTAACAAGCTATTCTGAGCCGTCTCCGTGAAATCAGTGACACTTACTTCGCTCAAGAAGAGTCTCACAAACGTCTCCCAAGGAGATTCGACATTCATCGTGAGCTCATAAAGCTTTAGAAGAACTCGCGATCTGTCATCCTCGCTGAGGTCTTCGACCGATGTAGAAAGGGCTTCCGCTGAGCGTATGAAGTCTCCGACAGCATCATTCTCGTTCATTGTCGATGACATGCTGACTGTTTGTTAAACTACCCTGTTTTCGCGTCAATTTTCAAATTGGTCGCTTTGGCCTTTTCCTCGAGATAGCTAAGACGTCGACTTGAAGCAGGAAGTATAAAGCTTAGAGACTTCTGGTGAAGCTCCAATCATGGATTTAATGCTCCAAAGAAGAGAATGAAACTGCCAAGGGCAGCAAGCTTTTTATTAGAAGAAGAAGTAAAGACGTTGCACCAAGTCCTAAGTCCCCGCCGAACACAGAGACTTGATTTGTAAGAATCATGTGCCATGATCTGCGATAGTATCACAAATATCCATATACTCCTCGTAAGCCTGAATGACGAGCGGGGGTAATTGGAGCGGGATCGGAGTTTAACACCAACATTGCTCAAGAAAGTCAAACATCCCCGGAGCTTGAGCTTGTTTCAAACTTAATATATGAGGAGACGTTATTTCGTCGTATTCGATTCGCTGGAATGTTATATTGAATGGTGACAGACTCTGGATTGGATCTGGAGAAGAAAAAGGTGGTGTGGTCTTCGTACATAAACTACTGTGATTGACGCCAGCGCTCAGGATCTCCGACTAGTAGCATATGACATTGACAAGGCCCGATATATGGGACGAGAGAGAGGCTGAGACTCGGGCAAACATATCAACAAATTTGAAAGCAAGTTGTGACCATTGGAGCTGCCGGGTGACGCAACTAACATAGGCAGAAGAGCGGCCCCATAAGAAGTACCTTGAGCTTCGTTCCCACTCTGCGTGGATTCGTACCCTCATGGTAGGATGTGTAGAAAGAGACGAGATGTTGCATGGCCGTTTTGGGTTACACACAACATCAGATCGCCACATATACTCCTGATATGCAACAAGACTTCTCTCTTGATTGAGGAACAATTTAATGATGACTTCAGTCCTATGGATCTTCCTGTTTTATGCGCAAGATAGTAATGGTAGTTTGAGATGAATTGACATTACAGTGATCCCTTCCCATAAGCCGAGAGCCTGCAATCAATATGAAAACTTCTCCTCTTCTTCTTTTTACTTCTACAAGTTATTCAGTTCAATGGTTAGCTGAGAGTCTCCTGCCTTCGACAAACTTATAGACTGGGGGTATGGTTCCCCGCGCCGATAGCGAACGCGTCTGGAGTTCATCTAGCTGAGTCTTAAGTCGTCCGCTCCGCAAGTTGAACTTTAGAATGAAGAAAGATATGCGTAGCTAACGGGTCTAAGTTCCCGAGTGATAAAGTGACGGTTACCGACCGCATAGGAATGGTGTATATCAGAAGCCGCTGTGGGACTCCTTGCGGGCCCAGATCGACGCCGTGAAATATATCACCCAGACTATGTAAAACGATCTTTCTAGGAACTTCGTTTGGTAGTCTAGATATGCCGTCGTCCCATTCATCTCATCATCGCCTACGTCCCGTGAATGGATCATGGGGATCGTTCAGGGCAATCTTCCTCATCACGGGTCGTGTTGCTTTTCTATCTGTCTGGAAGTTCGCTGCCACCGTTCTGGGAGGAGATATGAGCCTGCATAAAATCGGTCGCCATTGCCCAGGGAAGCGGCAGAAGGCACCGTGTCCTTTATCGAGAACAACCGTAATTCTGGAAAAGATATGAGCAACGGCCATTCCGAGAAGATTGAGCGTTGGTAAATCCATGATGAATAGAGACTCAAAAGACAATAGAGTTCACCCCCCCGGTGGCGAACGGGGGCTACATCTCTGGCGCACATGCTGGGACTTTTTTGTCGACTCGAACACGGGACCTCTAAGCCTTCACCGATTAGGCTGCTCGTGGACTTCAACCACTCCACCACTCAGCCAGTTTTGACCTGACCCCCGAGGGGACGCCTGCTGTGCTGGTGACGGGAGTGGATTTGAGGGGGGGTATAAAGGGATCTCGCGGAAGGTATGGGAAGATTTGGGAAGATTTGGGAAGGAGCGGCTGAGCCTGCACCTGCCTTACAGTCACATGGATATCATTGGGTCACTTCCTGACATTCACGACAGATCCTGTGGAAGGAGGCAGACATATTTCATTGTGGGTATTCCGTGGGAGACATACATTCCATTTTGCTCAGGCAGTATTGATGTATTAAGCTATCAATGTCCGCTATCGGGATGGTGATGATGGAATCTATACCTCGACGCCGCTTAATGCACAATCCAGATGCACCCATCTTTCCTTCCCTTCGTCAAGCGCCGTATCCTGCCACCCCCATCTCAGATCACTGCTTCTTCGGCTTTCTAAGCGGAGCAGTGACGGAGAAGGAGACTATGCTATACTCAGTCTTCTCGGCATCCCGCTTCTCAATAGCCTTCTTCTCCTCCGCAGTCTTCTCTTCCTCGTCCTTCTTCTTTTTCTTCTCGTCCTCGTCGTTCTTAAGCTCCTTCACGACATTGCCGTCACCATCAAGCTCGACGACAACGTCGCGGGTGTCGAGGCTCCCGTCCTCGGTGTACATCCACATCTCCTTGAGCTCGCCACGGACGAGACCAGTCAACCAGAGGGAGCTGAGAACGCCAGGGACGAGGTACAGCAGCGCAGGCTGGCCGTGCTTGAAGACAACCAACATGACTAGTGTAGTCACCATGCCGATAGCGTAGCCGACCAGGGAGGCGTAAAAGTAAGTCTTGCTGAAAGTCGATCCGCGCACGGTCGGCGGCGCTGTCTGCGTTGCAGCCTTGAAGAGATCCAGCCACGAAGGGGCGGACCAGAACCAGTCGCCCCAACAGTTGGTGATGTCGAGGTACGGGGCCTTTTGCGCAATGTGCTGGGTTTGGCTCACGGTGACCACGTCGCCGGAGGTCGCGTCGTGCTGGTCGGACTTGAGATCGGTCGGGATATACTTGACCTGGCGCTGGTAGTGAAGCCACATGTCGAAGCGGAGGGCGAGACACATGACAATGCCCGGGACGACAATGTCTCCGAGTCCGAGAATGCTGGACCTAGCGGCGGACTGAAACTGGAGCTTGATGGGCACATCGAGCTTGGTGGCGACGGTGATCATGTAGGGGCTGGTGGAATGTTAGACGATGTGGGTTCAAATATCACTGGCAACTGTGACTGAGATACAACTTACGTGTAGAAGACCATGATTACGTCGTAGAAGAAGAGTCCGATCAGCACCAAACTTCCCGTCGCAAACGTCGTCGGGGACATCATGAGGAATGAGCCGTAGCAGAATCCGTAGCCCATGAAGTTGGACAGGAATGGCGAGCCAGACATGAAGTAGGCCACGACGGTGGCGATAGCCAGGTTGAGACCAACGACGTGGAGGATAGTCATATGGAACTTCTCGCGAAGGAGGCCGTGCAACTTCGCCTTCACCGTCCACTCATCCGTCAAGACGTGGCGCAAGTCCCATAGAACCCGGTTGGTCTTGATGCTGTTGAGGCGCACAATGCTGCGCAAACCAAAAGGCAGCGGGTTGCTCTTCTGGAGAACCTGTGCGTTGTTCTGGTCAACCCCGTCGCCTGTGACCTTGATGAAAGCCTCATCGTCATCGTTGATGTTGTAGAGTGAGCCATCGTGGCGGAAGTAGTTGGGGAAGACGAATCCGGTGGCAACCCGCAGTGAGTGTGCGATCAGAGTCGTCAAACTGGCGACACCCATGACGGACATGTAAACTCGGAGAATCTTGTTGAGGATGGCGGGATCCTGGAGCCATTGGATGAGGTAGTAGAGGCCGATGAGCATGGTGCCGGCCAGGATCGGGAAGAGAATGGCGTCGGTAGGCATGAGACCCTCTGTTATAGGCTCGTCCTCCTTGCGTTCTTTTCCATCATTGCGCTTCTGAGGAGCGGCAGAAGGTGGGCGGCGGAGTGAGCCGTGGGCGCCAATGTAAATGATGGCTAGGGCGCTGAAGATGAGCTTGGCCTCCATCGTCAAGAAGCTAGCATACTGGGTGAAACCCCATTCCACAGCGGCAGCGGTGGCGTTTCCAGCTGTCGAGTTGCCAGTGAGGTTGCCGGTGAGGTTCTGGGCAAGCTCATCAAACGGCGGATTGATGGGGCTGGGGACCGGTGAAGCCATGTCGTCGCTGTCGCCGTTGGTGTCAGGCTCGCTGTCGTTCCCGGGTGCTAGGATGAAACAATCGGTCCAAGGGCCGAGAAGACGAGTACAATCGTCCAAGGCAAGTGAAGCTCGTGATAGGATGGAAGAGACGGAAGCAGAATGTGAACGAATGAGACGATGGTCGTTGAGAGTGGCAAACAGAGAAGCCAGATGCCCGTAATTGATTTATGCCCTCGGAAAGGACCACTGGCGTTTCAATGCTGGATAAACGTTAGAAGAAATACTAACCTCGCCAAGAGTATTCTGATCCTTACCAATTAGTGAATGCAGAAGTTGAAGCCACCTGTTTTTGGAGATGGGTCGGATGAAAGACGACACGGTGTTTCCTGCCCTGCCTAATAGAAAAAAGTGAGAAGTCAATTCTGTAAATCGGTCCCCGCCCTGGCCAGATTTTGCTTCGAGTGACGGGATAGGCAGGCAAGTGGTAAGTGTCTTTGGTTGAGACGGAAAGAGACTCCGGACGTCCTAAGAAAAAATAGATTCGCCGTTTGGTTTATCTTCTTCAAGAGACAAGTCGCACCTTGCCCGTGTCCAAACTCTTGAAAGGCGGTATCGATATCCGTGCGGCGCGAGCATTGCTGCAGGAGGTTCGCCCTGCGCTGGTCCAGATTGGTACGGTAGTTGACAAGTGAGAAGTGAGGTAGGTACCTAAGCTATGCTCAGCTCCAGGCAAGGCATGTGGGGAAGAGAGGCTTCAGCTGCCATGACCCCCACCTCAGTGCTGTGAACCATTGACACCTGAAAGTACCAGCGCAAATATGCAACATTGAATAAACATCTACGAATACACCACAAAACACTCAACCCCTTAGATCTATAAGACAAATATCATTGAATTACAGATATGAGCAGCGTCTGAAGTGTACATGACCTAGTGTAGGAAGTAATAACGCGTAATTGGGTCCTGCAAAGGTTGCGAGTTCGGATTTGGTGGTCCTACATAATGCCACAGACTGCTCACTTTTTTTTCGGCTTGAGTACCTACCTCCCCCCAACTGCCTTAGAGACCTCCAGCTTCCAGTGGCGCACCTTCACCCCAGAAGTGGCTGAAGCTCCCCCCTGGCCAGCCGCCATGGAAAAGCGCAATCCGCAATCGGGCGCGGATCGCAAAACCTCAATCGCATCGCATCGCCAGCCTCGCCCAAAATAATTATCCGTGAACCCCTCCACCACCGCCAGCAGCACCACAGTCCACGACAATTCGCGCAGCAAGCACAGCTGTCAATCCCTCAAAATGACTACCAACGTCTCCCTCGAGACCTCAATGGTACGTCCAAACATCCTCTACACCCCATGATGTAGACATCAATCCAATGCGACAACCTCCCAAACCCCCAAGCTAACCACTTCTCCTCCAACAGGGCACAATAATCCTAGAGCTCTACACCGCCCACGCCCCCAAAACCTGCACAAACTTCGCAACTCTCGCAAAGAGAGGCTACTACAACAGCACCGTAATCCATCGCATCATCCCAAACTTCATGATCCAAGCCGGCGACCCGACGGGCACAGGCCGCGGCGGCACCTCAATCTACGGCGAAAAGTTCGCAGACGAGATCCACGCAGGCTTAAAACACACCGGCGCGGGGGTCCTCTCCATGGCAAACGCGGGGCCCGACACGAACGGCTCCCAGTTCTTTATCACCCTTGCCCCGACCCCTTGGCTCGATGGGAAACATACGATCTTTGGACGGGTCAAGAGCGGGTTGAGCGTCGTCAAGAGGATGGGGCTCGTCAAGACGGGGCCCGAGGATCGGCCGCTTGAGGAGGTCAAGATTATCAAGGCTTCTGTCGTTGAAGAGGGCGGCGACGAATAGTCAACGAGGTGGTGGTAAAGGTCTGCCTGCCTAGAGGGGCCGTATTGTCAGCATCTACACGGAGTTTGGCGTTTGGTCGAGCAGACCGTACCTTGGGAAAAAGTTATATCCAATTCATGTCGTCTACATCTTTCACGTGGTCATAAATCAAACGGAGTATGATAAATCACAAACTTCAAACTCAACGGGGGGAATCAATATCATTTGTCACAATGCCTATAAAATGTAGCCGCAATCTCTAAACGCCGCCATCCGCCTCGCCAGGCGATGCACACGAGTATGGAGGGAGGAAACCTCCTCATCCCTAGAAGACCTTCCCCGACTGACTCCCTGACCATGCATTGTTGAGTATCGTGTATCGAATGTCGATCTTCTCGTCGACCAGGGCTTCAGATTTTTTGATGAGTACAGAAAGAAAACAAGAAAACGACCAGGAACCTGGCTCTGCGGCCAGTCCCACGACCTTATTCTTTTGTTGTAGAATGCGGGCCAAAGAACTAACGTATGCCCCATCCCGGCTGATATTTGACGCCGGCCCGGGACACTGAAGGAGAAAAAATGTGGTGATGGATACAAAGGAGCGATATTAAGAGCGACGCCGTTTGTTGGCCTGTTTCTCATGCTCATCCGAGGCTCTCTTTTTACCTCGGGCTGGCGGCTGGGCCTGAACGGTAGAATGACTTCTGGCGGGCTTTTTGCCTTCAGTTGGAGGCGTTCGACTTCCAGTGGTCTTGGACTGCGAAAGCCGTCCCGTGGATCGAACCGTGTCTTGAGAAGATCCTGGCGAGTTCGATTTTGCGGCAGAACGACCAGAAGAGTTGCTTTGAGCGGAAGGTGTGCTAGAGACATTCGCCAGTCGCTGTCGAGTTGGCTGCGGCTGCGGCTTCGACTGTGGAGGTGAGCGTTTGACTGACGAAGGCGCCGATGTGCGCTTCATAGCCAACAACTCGCTTGGTCTCCTAAGACCACAGCCGGCCGTCCTTTTGACGCTGGTTTTTGAGCTGGTCTTTGTGCTGCTCGTTGCGCTGCCAGGCTTCTAGTGTGGCGGCGACGACAATGTGCCAGACGATTCTGATTCTGCGTCTTCGTCCTTCTCTTTTCCGTTCCGGCCATTCTTGGATAACGGCGAGGACAAGGGCGGCTTGGCGGCACCGAGCTTCAGTTTCTTGGCCGGACTAATGCCCTTGGCCTCCTTCTTTTCCTTCTTTGGCGCAACTTCAACGGTAGAGTTGTCGCCGTCGTCTGCCTTTGCCTCACGACTCAAAAGTGAGTTCGTCTTCACCTTTTCCTTCTTAGGACCTTTTGTTTTGAGTATGACCTTTTTTGTCATCAAGGGTGTCGACTTCAACTTCTTCTTCTTATGGCTGTCTCCCGATTCGTCCTCGTCTTCAGGTGCCGCCACCTCCTCGCTGTCGCGCTTCTTAGGGCTCGAGGCCCGCGATGCAGGCGCCGGTGTTGCCTTTTGGCTTGATGGGGGTGTTCCGTCGTGCTGGCTAGCGCCATTGCTGCCATTTGAGATCTTTGCCGCCGCAGCGCGACTGGCATTGCGTCCGCTATTTCCTATGCAAGAGCCCATGTGGTTGTTGAGACGAGTGACAAGAATGCATCGTTTGCACTTGCTGCAGGTGGCGGAGGGAAATGAAAGCACGTTGGCTGGTCGCGCTTCTCCAGGACCGGCTGACTCGATATTCGGATCGGGCTTCATATCCTTCTTCTTCTTACCACGGCCGGGACCAGGCTGAACCCAGGTCTGCCCGTAAATGTCGTAGCCGGGCTTGTCAATGTAGGGGTGCTTCTTGCAGTAGATGACGCTTGGATCGGGCTTTCGCGCGCCTTTGCCATCGGTCGGATAGAGCAGGCGAGGCAGGTGGCATCTGGGGCACAGGATCTCGGATGTGGTCTTGAGGGGGTTGCCCTTGAGCAGAACCTTGCCGTCTTCGTATATCGCAGCGTCGGTCTCTATTCGCACGTCTGGCTTCGAGTCGGGGGTAGAGCTCTCTGATGCATCGGAAGCCAGCTTCTCGACACGAATGGCAGCGGTAGACGCTCTCGCCATTTTCTCGTCGCGGTGGACTTTGAGTAGCAGATCATGTACAATGTTGTACATGAGATCGTCGAGGACAGCGTGTGCCTGTTGCCCAATAACAGACCATGTCAGCATCATTTCAAGTCATCAGCCATGGCGAACAGTCGCCCAGCCCAGCTGCAGCGATTCGTAGAATCAAATGGCCGCGATGATTTGAGTGAGACCGGGGAAGGAAGGGGAGGGCAGGGGATGGAAGAAGACTTACAAGCTTGTCCATATTGCCAGCGTCGTCGGGAGCGACAATCACTCCAGCCTTTCCTGTATTGGAAGCCATCTCGGCGAGGCCGACGGAACGGCGCACAGAGGCTGAAGGGAGTAAGATGCCGTCGTGATCGCAGCCTCGGAGGGCGGATAGCTTTGTGGTCGTGTGCAGGAAGAAATGTGGTTTGTGGAATCTGAGTCGGGTTGACGGGTAACTAAAATAAGGTGCCACACGGCCGGTCGAGGGGCGGGTGGTTCAGCAGCCGCAGCAGTGAGCACTGAGCAAGTCGTAGTAGCAGCAGGTGCAGTGCAGGGGGAGATGAGGTCAAGCTGAGCAAATGGAAAGGGACGACCGACCGACGCCGCCGCCAGGGAAGGGTTAGAGGGAAAAAAGTTTCGGAACCTTGCTTTGCTGAAGTAATAGGTAAGGGTGCAACAGCGATGGCGAACAAGCAACGGACACAAGGATTTGCGGTTAAAGTGTAGGTAGGTTGTCTCCGATGAGCTAGGGGGTCGACTTTCCCTTTGTCGTACCACGCGAGAGGCCCTATGCCGAATCTGGATAGGACGGGGGGGTTTGAAGGTGCGAGGCGAGAGAATCCGATGGTCGCGGCCAACGTCGGTGTTGGTTGACTGGCGGAGCAAGTAAGGTAATTGGTTTACCGGGTGAGATGATAGGTAGGGAGAGAATTGCTCGGGGTTAGGTGAGCAAGGTAAGATCCTCTCGAAGCCCGGTGTAAGATGAAGTAAGGTGGTTGATGGGGGATTGGAGAAGGAGAGAATGCGAATTGGGTGGTTTTTCCGGATTACCTTAGCAGATTGCTCAGGCATCTTTGTCAAGGGAATTGCGGGAA